AGGGTTTAGGGTTTAGAGCTTCGGATTTAGGGTATAGGGTTTAGGGCTTAGGGGCACCATGACTGTCCCGAGGAGGGCACATTACATCCAAAGGCAAAACCTCGACTCTGACACTCCTGTACCCTGCAGAGCCCGCTGTCCCTAGGGTTCAAGGCTTAGGGCCTGAGCCCCCGACCCTGAGCCCTAAACAACCCTAAGCCCCACGACCCTAAACCCTAAACCCTAAACCCTAATCCCTACACCCCACACCCTGAACTCTAAACACTAAACCCTAAACCAAACCCCCAAACTAGAAGCTGAGCACCAGACCCCCAGGGAGGACAAGAATTGGAAGATGCAAACCAGCATGCCGGCCTTCAGCTAAGAAGGCTCAATGTGGTTTAGGGTTTAGAGCATATAAGGTTTTGGGTTTAGGGTATAGGTTTTAGGGTTTTGGGTTTGGGAATATGGGCTTGTGATCTTGGGGTCTTTTTTGCTTCAAAACCCAACAAAAACCCTGCAAGCCCCGTTGAGGGCCCTTAGTTAGGACCCAGGCAGCATGTACGGGCTCATGGTAAGGACCTCACAACAAATAAAAAAACACTCTCCTGTTCGGGCCCAGGGCACCTCGAAGGTTCTATTCTTGGTTTAGGGTTTAGGGTTTGGGGTTTAGGGTTTAGGGTTTGGGGTTTAGGGTTTGGGGTTTAGGGTTTGGGGTTTAGGGTTTAGGGTTTAGGGTATACTTTGGGATGTATATGTTCACCATTTGAGCTACAGCCAATGTTTCCATATACCTGCTAGACATGGGTTCCTGTTGAAGAACATCAGGACTATGAAGCTACCAAAGGAAACCCTAGGTTCACCCTGAATGGTCCCTGAGTAACCCTAACACTGAAAGTAGCCTTGTATCCATGTGACTGTAACATAGTTCGAATTCCGTGAACCCGAAACCCTATGCCTTCACTAAAGCGTTGTGCTCTAAAACCCTGGATACCTTAGGTGGACCCTTCACCCAGTAATAGTGACTATAGGGGATAACAGGGATTATATTAGGGTCCTCTTATATTCCTACTATACCACTGTTACAGGGTGGGGGGTCCTCCTAATGGATACCCTACACCCAAAGACTCTGGGGCCAACGGTGCTCCTACATAGGTACTTTGAAGCCTCCGAAAAATGATAAAAAGCAGTTGTCCCTCTTGTAGAAAGCCCTAAGGGGTTCAATTTGCGCCTAAACCCTAAAACCTAAGGGCCTTATTCATAGGATTAAAGATTTAGGTCCCAAAGCAAGCTTTCTTCACATACGTGGATCTGCAGGGCTTGCGCAATATTGGAGACATTCCTATATTATCAGTGAAAGTAGTAGTAGTAGTAGTAGTAGTAGTAGTAGTAGCAGCAGTAGTAGTAGTACTACTACTACTACTACCACAAGAATCGTGAAAATGATAACGATAAAACATATAGGGATTACATGACACTTTTATAGAGGTGATGTGGGGGATATATAGAGGTTATACAGGGATTGTGTAGGCATTGCATAAGCCCGGCTAGCGCCTCAGAGGTCTCGGCACGCCATCCATGTTTCTTCGATCGCGCATGGACATTGATGTGTTTGAGTAACGTGAGAGGCCGATACACAGGCTGCTGCTTCCAAAAGCAGAGGATCCCACTTCTTGCAAGAAGAATGAGTACTGTCTGCATTCTTAGAAATATTCGTATTCTTAATACTATTTGCAATCTAGTATTGATGACTGCAATTATGAAACCTAAGTACGGTTCAGTCAATCCATCAGTTGCTCGTCCAGCAGTGGGATCTTAAAATACAAGCGTCTTGCTCGCAAGTCTGGCTGCAGCTATTCTCACGTCCTCTGTGGCCAGTTCAGCACCCAGCCCAGAGATGAGGCCAGGGCAAACTGCGATTCCTCCTCCGACCCTTCCTGTAGATATTGAACCATAATGCCTACTCCAGCCCAAGCAAAATGAAGGAATCGAGGATGAGCTTTGCAGTGGTGCATGCCAGGCGCGCGGCATAATGCTGCAGCGGCAGGCAAACCACATGCCCAAAACTTGGAGAACTGAAACAGTCAAAATCACTGGAAACGGATCACATGGGGCACACGAACGTAGGTAGAACGTGGCAACATGATGTGATGCAAGCCTGTATGTGAATGGTACTTATCAACTACAGACTGCTCGCGGCTTGAGGAAGGGTTTCTTCAACCTCTCTCGCGTCGCAGGAGCTGCAGCATATGAGCCATTGTCTAAACTCCTTGTAAACCCCTTCATAACCAATATTGTAGTCCCCTATATAATCCCCTATATAACCCCCTTTAAGGAGTGTAGACTACAGCTTATATGAACGCAGTCATTGCCAACGTTCATAGAAAGCTCCTGTACGCTATTATCTGCTTACTCCTCACACTCTTCGCCGGTCAAGGATGACGACCCACGCATGAACGACTTCTCCGAGTCGTCGGTCACGCCGTCATCCAGGAGCTGGATCAGCTGCTCCATGTTTGACTCAGAGTACAAGCTGGGCATAGAGGCGTTGAAGCCGAGCTTTGCCTCCAAATTCATGCGGATCTCCT